TACCTGGAATTTGCCCAAATGGCAAGGCAGTTCCACATTAGAAGCTTCAGCTTCCCATAGACTTCTTCCATTTACAGCTTCCTCACTCAAACCAAGCCTTCTTCTGCTATAAAAAATTCTTCGAATGGATCAAATCTTCCCTTTCCCTGGATGGTGTCCCCGAGTCACAGACAACAAATATACTGTAACAAAAGATTAATAAAAGGCTTTATCATCAACATTAGCAGTAATATCTGAAAATGGTCAAGGTAATAGTCTAATGACAACCACACCTCTCTTCTAAAAGGGTCTCAAGTCTGAATCCCTTCTCTCAAAATATTTGAACATAACTTGAAGGTAAACCCTCTATCAGTTCTACAAAGAACAACATTATAGGAAAAAAACGAAAGTACCCTACTGAAAACAAAATAGGAAATAAAACCTAAAAATTTAGATGAACGACATCCTCTTATGGTTTTGTAATGGAGAGAGGACAAACTGAGACTTGGAACATGATTGAAGCATAGTCAGATAGCAAATTAGCAGTCAAAGGATATTGCATTCCAAGCAGCCATAATTAAAATCCAAAAAAAAAAAAAAATGGAAATGTTAACCATTCTTTTGCAACAAATAAAATCAAACGTAATTTTTTTGGGTGTTCATAAAAGAGGAAAGTGTTCAAGGAAACAACCAAATTGAGCATTCTAACTATTAGATACAATGAAACTATTAGGAATTACATATTTCATTAAAACCAATATGAGAAAGGGAAAAAAAAAAAAAGAATATAAAAAGGATGAAGAATTGAGTCCGTATTGGCAAGATGTGAATAAACAGACTCATACCACTCGCTCACATTGGAGAAGGAATCGCTAGGTTTCCAGAAAACAACCACAGAGACTTTTATATCATCCTTGGACAATTTATCCTTGTGAAGATGCATACTTTAAATTTTGATTTTCGAAATAAAAAGAGTAATTGCTTCTGAAAATCAAAGGAAAAGAGAGAACGTATACCCAGGGATGTAAGTTTTTCCCGCTGAGGAACTCATCGAGTGACTTGAGGCCTGCCTTGGTGTGGAGATCGGAGAAAGTGACAGCCGATAATTGGATGCTAAGAGAATCGGTGTTGGAGGAGAGCTCAGTCTGCGAAGTGTGAAAGCTTGGCCAAGATCTGGCTTCAAAATGTGGAAGGTAGGCCAAATCTAGGGGTGAATCGTAGAACACTCACCAATCATTTATATCTCTCTTTTCCCTTCTTTTTCTCGCTTACAACTAGATGAGAGAACCATTCCCTGTTAATCGAGTTTCTCCTTCTGTGCACCTCTTTTCTACATCTATAATGAACACCAGATCTACCTTCCCTCGTCTATTGAGTACAACTGAACTCTGATT